TTATTGCGCCGAAGAACGACGTGGCGGGGACGGCGCGGGAGGGGCCACGAGACGGAGAATTTCGTAACCGGTCTGCTCTCTCATCAGTCCAGCCGGCGGCTCTTCCGCCGGACGGATGGACAGATCGCCCGGCTCGTAATAGAGCCCTCGTAGCGATGAGTCATACGCTTCGTTTCTCGTCTGCACGGAGGCTCGCTTTAGGAAATGGATCTATCTATAGAACTGGGCGTAAAATGGGTAGACAGGGAGTGTTTTTCTTGCGAAATATATAATGCGACGTTCGAGATTTATAGAAGATGCGAGGTAAACGAACGTAATCGAGAACGCGAGGCTTTTGCCGGATGCACGACCGTCACGATGAAGACGTCAATTAAGATTCGTCAATTAAAAGTTACGGTGAGCGAGCAACAAGATATCCGCATAATTCATTTATGAGATTTAATTATAAGTTTGTTTGGTTTAAAACGGTCATCCGGCGACATATCTTTCGGCGTTTATCGTAGCGAGACGCTTCTCTCATCTCTCGGCGTTTATATCCGTCGAGATGATTAAAATGCATCCTTAAAAAGATATCTCTCTCACTCTCTCTTTCATAAAGCCTCTTTCTCATAAAGCCCATTTTAGTATGTCAGCGGCATCTAAATATGAAATCCTGAAAATCATGCGGATTTCAATCTCCAGTGTGCGCGAGATTCTCACGACGACGCGAATACGAAGGCCGGAATCTCGGATTTGCGACGTCGTCTCGGATGTGGGGACACTCGGTTTTACGACCCAAAGCTCCTTCTCTCCTTCTCTTTCGGTCAGCACAGCCGACTGCCCAGATCTTACGTGCGATATTCATGAAGGTTCAGGATTTTCGCAGGACGAGGAGAAGGAGGGTGGAAACGTGTGCGATAAGACAACGACCTGCAGTAAGCGAGAAAAAGGGGTGCGGCGCGGTACGAAATGTCGTACCGGCGAGAATCTAGAAAGTTATCGCATTATCGCGAGGAATACCTTCTGGACTTTTTCCCAATACATTTTTCTCTCCCCCTTCTTCATTTTCCGGATAATAATTGACCTGGCGCGAATTAAGGGAAAGTGTATTTATACGCGCTTTTTGTGTGCCCCTGAATAATCAAACGGGAATATTAATTTATGCGTATACGCGCGACGTATATTCGTTATAGTGGAATTCGAATACATGAGTATTTATTTATCGTGATATGGCTGAAAGAGAAAACGAGAGCAGACTTTGTATATTAATAAATCGATGATGAAGAGGGAAAGAGATTGAAATTTGTATGGTAAAGCCGATCGCATGCTTTCATTATGAGATAGTAATAAATCGAGTCAACGATATGTTGATGCTGTGATTTGATTTGTTCATAGCTCAGTATCTGTATTAATTTAACCATGAATTAATCAGAATTCGTATTAACTCATTTATTCGCTGAAATTATCGGTGCTGGCTTTTCAATATTCGAATATTACTAAATCCGTTTCGATAACATAGCTCTTTCTCTCTCACTTTCTCTCGTAGCGATATTTATAATATTTTGTAACTACTGTATATTTTGTAATAAAATTTTCATATTTATGAGAACATTATACCCGGGTATATTGTCCTTTGTATTATCAAAATGTCTGATTATCATAAAGATAAAATTTAAAATGTAACGGTACAGCGGTTTTACATAATTTATCAGGCAATCTTTCCTACCATTTTTTCATTTAATATTTATTAATTTATTTTTTGTCTTTAATCCAGTTATGTTAACGTAACAAATGTACTCTGTCAATATCATTTACATATATTTTATATATTTATATATATTATTTTATATCTTTTTGAACGCGATGCTTTGTAATTCCAATGCGTGTTTGTTTATTTTATACATTTATATATAAATATATATATATATATATATATATATATAATATATTATTGATTATTTTTTTGTGTTTTCAATATAATAATATAAATGATGATGCATACTTTGTTCCATATTGTGATTGGTGATTTCACGCTTTCAGGTGACGGTAAGAGACAACGGTAGGCCATCTTTATCGTCGACTACGAGGATCGTCATCGAGGTAGAGGACGTTAATGACCATAGCCCTAAATTCGACGAGACGTTCTATACGGTCCAAATTCCGGCGTCGCCACCGACAGACAAGCCGCTCTTCCAGGTACAAATTTCTTCCGTATTTCTTTGCGCATTACACGGCCTCGTCTCAATGGGCTTTTCGTTCTCACCCGAATTTCTTGTAAATACATTTTCATGCTGACAAATGGACCGGCGGACACGGCGAACAAAAGCAGTCGCGCGAACAGCGCGACCCAAATCTCTCCCGAACGATCCTCTGGCTTTCTCCGTTGTCGTCCCCGCCCGTAAAAAGCGCCCCAACCTTTGTGCCCCGCTGTACATACCGCGCGTTACCTGCGAAATTGTTTTAATCCGCAATGCGGACGATGAATCGTTTCGCGAATTTTACACGAGCGTGTAAAATTTTATTCATATCTCGCATTTTGGCTGTCGTGATTTGATCCGGAGTATTCGCGGGTATTCCACCGACGCACGACCCGCAAGAGTAACACGCGGATCATAAAAATAGAAAAGAAACAGCCTGATATATTACACCAACATGAAGCAGACCACTTGCGACTTCTCTCCTCCCTCCCTCCCTCCCTCCTCCTCCTCCCTCGCTTTTTCGTTATCATTTTCCCATCAGAGTCTTCTCTTCTCGATGTGATCAAAGTAACCCGCGTCACCGAGTATCGTCGCATAGAAAGGGTAGATTTAGCTCACGAACCCCAGCACGAGGATCCCCCGACACACAGCCGTCGTCCCACTTCTCTCTTTCTCTCTTTTTCTCTTTCTCTACCGCTCTCTCTTTCACGTGTAACCTTTGTGAATACGAAGGTGAACCTCTGTGTGAACGTCGCACGTCCGCTGCAAACACGAGCATCGGCTGGAGGTCGGCCGGCGCAAATTAAATTACGAGGCGTCGTTGAAACGATGCAGACCTAATTGAAGACGAGAGAATTTACGATCTTGATCCAAGGGAGATCAATACTTAAATACGGCACGCTTACAATTAGACACGACCGCGAGATTTTGTCGCCGGGTAACAGTAAGAAAAAAAAAGAAGTGCCTTCTTTCAATTTATATTCCAGGTTTAATTATCGTAAAAGGATAATTAAATACCCAAAGTTCATCGTGTCTTAACTGGTGATAGAGAGTGCATAAAATATGCTAATTTTCA